AACCTACACAGGACAGAAAATATGGATTGATTAGGTGGAATTTCTAAAACACTAGGATGCTCAGAAAGATATCTTTTACTTCTCCACAAAGTATACTAAATATCTTAACCCTTTTATTTACTGCCTTTTCTTTTTATAGAACTAGCTGAGAGACAGGCAAAACGAAGGCCCGGATGGTGTGGTGGTGAAGTGCGCTACTCCCCGGTAAGGACAACAGCACGCGTTCGTTCCCCACCGCATACACCTGCGGTCCGGAGTTTTGCAAATATCTCAGCAGACCTGACGCCCTATTTCAAAATGATATTTTGACCCCGGGGCGTGTCTTGCTCGCGTAAACTACGTGTCGGCCAGTCCCGCACATAACATCACGGTGAGTGGCCTTTCTGTTCAATATGGCGTCTATTTGAAAGTTTGATCTTCATTAATACTTTAACCTTCTTTTCCACTGAATAATAAAAAGTATTCTAACATAAAGTACGTCCAGGCTCTGAGGAAGGCGAAGTCGCGGAAACGTCAGCCATCGTTCAATAACATCAAAAACAACGACTACGACAACGAAAACGAAGATCTGTACCAACCTCGCGTCAGCTTAAGAAGATCAGTTTATAAGATCACATAAATAAATATCTCAGCATTATATACGCGATATATTAAATATATACGCGATGATGTGTACTGCCGTCAATGCGTATGATGCCAAAGTGACGGTCCTTTCCAGCTTAAAATACGCACTTTTTAAGTTGTATTGAATTTGATTAACTTCGATAAAGACCACCGGAATATACAAATATACTGATCATTTGTAAATCAAGAACATTTTATCACTATGCCAAGATGAAATTCTAACCCATTGGGTAGCACGAAACGTACTCTTCCACCTTTTTTTCGTCAAATTTCGTATTTCCAACATAAAAAAAATTGTGAGCAATTAGGATTGATGCTGAGATATTTGCAAAACTCTGGGCCATCACTGTATACTGAGGGGATCGAATTCGCTATTACCCTCCTGGCGACTAACGCGATCACCACCACACCATGCCAGTCCTTCGCCTTGCCTTTCCCTCAGCCAATAAGAATTTTGTCTAGCAGGACATGATGGAGTCCCTCAATGTTTTCAGAGCTACTTCGCCTGAATGTGAAATTCCAGACACGTAGATTTGTTTTCGATTTTTCAAAAAAAAAACATCCCTCTACACATTTTCTGTTGTCAGTTCGTAGATTTTATCCCTATTACAAAGCTCAATGCAGAAATAATCTGTTATCAAAAATAAATTCGTTGAGAACACGTCAACGAATTAGCCACGGCTAACTAGCCAGTAACTTAATAATAAGGGTATAAACTCTACTACAAACCATTGAATAGTGCCAGTACGACTTTGGCAACCACCACAGCGTCTTGTATATGTTTAGGTACTGTAGGAACAACGCTAACACCGAATACAGAAACAATGTGCACTCGAAGAACAGCTCGCCTTGCGTGAATTGCATGTCAGGCCATACTGGATGAACGGACACAACGACACCGGTGATTGAAGCGGAGCTGTCATCAGGAACTGATGATCCTCTAAAACGCAGTTTTAGGAAGCTAAGATACTTTGAATGAGAAACTCATTTCATTCTTCTTACTGGATACCCGGGGAAAAACTTAGGTTTCTCCTAATTTTCTCGAAATACTGAGGCCAGCAACGAGTTCGGGGTAACGCAGTGACTATAGACGGCGCCCAATATACGAATATCCGTAATCAACGTTTTTATCCCGCCTTGTGCGAACAATCTTTTCGGTATCTCCGAGGAAAAGCTCCCCTGGGTCCACAGTGACCGGTGATCCCAGCACTTTTCACATTCGATTCGGTTATCCATCATCCCTTAAAGTCTTTCAATCTTTGCTTGTGGCTATGGCTGCTGCTTGAGGATATCCATTTCGTCTTAAATGTCGTAGAACGCTGGTCTAAGTCAATTGAGGATGACCTATCATACGACTCCCTATGAAAGAATATGACATCCAAACAAACAAAATGAAATTCAGCTTAGGTGGCCTATGACGATTTGTCATAGTGGGCTGTCCAAACATACAAGAATGGATATATGTCGTTGAACACTTTTTACTTTGTTTAACGTTTTGTTTTCTGCCTTCTATAATTTTCATGGCAAGTTACTAAGCGAAATACAACCACAACGTTGCTGAGATATTTGCAAAACTCTGGACCGCAGGTGTCTATGGTGGGGAACGAACGCGCTATTATCCTTTCCGGGGAGTAACGCGTTCACCACCACACCATGCGGGTCCTTTGTTTCGCACGTCTCTCAGCTATTTGCCATCGATTTGCTATCGATCAACCCCGCTGACGGGTGATTGCCGTGGCAAGATCGATAGAAATAGCTGAGAGACGTGCGAAACAAAGGACCCGCATGGTGTGGTGGTGAACGCGTTACTCCCCGGAAAGGATAATAGCGCGTTCGTTCCCCACCATAGACACCTGCGGTCCAGAGTTTTGCAAATATCTCGGCAACGTTGTGGTTGTATTTCGCTTAGTAACTTTTTACTTTATTTTATTTCATTTGATCCATCTTCACGTCTGCTGTGCGGATCCCAGCACTTCTCACATCCGATTCGTTCCCTCGCATCCATTGCGCACGAAGATCTTCCAACTTTTACGCGTGACCTCGACTGCTGCTTGAGGATTTCCATTTCATTTTGAGTGTGGTAGAATGTTGGCCGAGCATTCCCACTGGAGTCCCGAGATAGTCGATCTGGAACGTTCCCACATGGATTGCAGACAGTGATTTTTTTCCCGAACAAGTCCTGTACTAATTTCCAAACACAGGAGCGATGATAGGTTTGGTGAACCGGGACGGGATTGAACCAACACTGTGCTCGTGATTACTAACATCACTACCACTGCGCCATCCACCCCTCACAGCATCTAAGCCAATACGTGGAGCTAACAAGAAACATACCCAGCTGCTGGTTGTGGCCCAACAAATTGGACTGGAGGATTAACATGTTTTCGTTGGCGAGGTGGTGCCATAATTAACGAGGTCGTCACCCGATGAGGAAGAACCTTGAATTAGCATCTAACAGTATAAAACTAAAATGTTTTTTGACATAACCAGTTCCTTTCTGGCTAATGAAATCCGTGGAAAGAAAATGTGCTTGTCATCTCCTACAATAGTACTAAGATGAAAAAAAGCCGATAATCGTCGCTCCTCTTATTAGCTACTCACTTCTGAACAATTATATTGGTCTTTCGAGGACAAGAAACCTAAAAAGTCTAGAACGACAGTCACAGATATGGATAAGAACAACCTAGAACAAGTAATTCAGTGAATGAAAACCATATACCATCGATTCCTATTACAAAATAAAGTAGCTTGCCTCTAACAATACAGAACAGTGAGTTCACTCTCCACTACAAAACCTTAGTGACACAAACCCCACTGAAAACTGTAAAACTTATAACATTCAGTGTAAATTAACAACTCCACATTGAATCGTTAGCACAGATACACAACAGTAGCTAACGTTTGGACCACAACTGACAATATTCAATGTTTTCAAACGTAAAGATAAAAAGAATTTATTCCAAACAATAACAAATCAACATTTTACTGCGGTGGAGGAGCTCCTCTTCCAAATCCAGCGCGATATGGCAACGCAGACCCAGGTCCAGCCTCCGTGACCTTGTCAGCGATTCTATAGGCATCACGATCTCCTTCTTTACCAGGAACTAAAACTTTAATTATCACGCTAGACCATGAGAATTGGTTCTATAGATATTCATGTAACTGAATGAGATAACATTTTAAGGTTTACAGCTTCACGAATCGCAAACAACAATAGCATCTTCACAGATTTACATATTCGTTATGTGCGTGTGGCTCACTTCACAAAAAACAGTGGCTTCCTTCAGCTTTTCAACAATCAAATGCAAACTTAAAGCGGACTATCGATCGATATTGATTCGAATAAGACCCAGCTTAACGTGGAAGTTTCGGCAAAGCAAGTGAGATTCAATTGTTCCATCAACATGGAATCCTTACTTCCTTGACCATGCTAAATGAAAACAATCCTTCGTTTTCTTTTTCTCGCAGGATCAAATTTCGAACACCAAAGTCATCCAACAAGCAGAGTTGGAAGTCTCTGAGGGCACGACGTCTTCACCAATGTGAAATTTCGAAAACTTAGGATCTACTCTGAATTCCACTTCTTATTTTTTGGAAATCCTAATCGGCAAAGTGGTCATCGATCGTTTCAGATAGTACTGGATTTTATCACCACGTATAGAAATCCGTGGTAGTCTCGCAGACAGAGGTGATACGATGATAGCCGATATTCGTATAAACAAGCGTATTCAAATCAATATTCTCCACAATGACAAACACGCTTCCACACCATCCATGGCGTGCCCTTTAAAACTACCTAACTTAATCAATCAAAACTACTTAGTCGACTCCTCCCAACGGTTTACCGCCTCATCGTGATTGAGATGTGTTCCTGGACGTCGGGTGCAATTTACAGCGGAGGGATTCATCACACCAGCAGAGCCTTCCAAGCTGAGAGGGGATCTGGTGTTTCCATTAGGAAGCCCAGTTAAGACCAAAGCAATACCAGGATCCAATACTGTCCTGGTATCATACTAGTCGCATGGCAGTAAATCTTCCTATGATCCACAAGGTCTGTGGTGGTGACGATCTGGGCAGACTTTGGCTAGGCTGTGCTGAGACTCGCACGACCAGTGAGGACTGGTCACTCAAGTAACAAGTATCAAGTAAGTAACGAATAAATTACCCACGTAAATATGTTTCCACAACAAAAGAAAACCTATTAAAAGAATGAATAACTAACTTGATCGAGGGATACGTTCAACAGCAGCCACGCGCACTTCTCCTGGCTTGCTTTTAACCGTGGACGGTACGATTTCAGCAGGTAAGTTCAAAACCTCCCTCAGGTGGGCGATACCTTCGTCGGTAAGGTACCAGTAATAGTGTCGCCATGCGAACTGCTCTTTGACGAGCTCCCTAGAGGCCAGACTCTGAAAGGGCAGGTTGACACAGAAACAGGTTTCTAAGTACCCAAGTGTTGGAATACGACGAATTAAGGTCGTTAAGGCAAAGCTCTTATGAACTAACTAAGGAAACTAATTAGCCTATTATCATGTACGTACCTTTAGGGCTTTGATAACTTCAAGATTGGTGACCCCGGGAATGTTAGGATGCTGTTTAAGATTGAAGTCCTTCTTCGCAACAGCGACTCCTTCGTTGAAGAGATACTCGTAAATAGCCTTTCTGTTCTTGCTAGGAATCAGCATTCTAACCTCGACTGCCTACAAAATAGCACGCACTTTAGGAGCAAAAACAAAACGTAACATGCCTAGCAATCAAGCAATCAATAGCAATCGATCAATAGCTCCGGGTAATAGGCAAAATTTCAGGTAATTTAAGTTAGACAACTACAAATGAAAAATTTAGGAAGGGATGTAACGGAATAGAAATCGCACAACTCTCGAACTACAGTAATCCCGCTCGCTGCGTGGCACCCCTCGAGTATTAGGAGAAGTGAACTGGAAATAGAACAAAATCTCTTAGTCTCCATATTTTAAACAGGTTTTCATATATAAATCACATTTTCTTTGTGGTAAATTTACTTCTCGATACGATTTGGCATTCGAATTCGAGTTTTTAAGGTAGTCCGCCACTGTGTTGAAGTCTATTTTCCACTTAAAAATAATTTTTTTGTTTCGCCATTTACAAAAAAGGTCAAAATTATCGAATTATAATGGATATACCCTATCAGGATCCTCAGTGTTGACATTGTCGGAAGTTAAGCTGACCCAATACGAAAAATGTGAGAATGGCTGCGTAGCGTCTCCTATAACATGGGGTGATGGACGGGACTTCTTACGGTCCTAAAACTATGGGAGGAATCTTTCATGACTTCATTGCATTTTCGTACTTTTTTTCATTTCTCATTTTTTCATGTTTTCGCATTATTTTTCTTGCCTTTTTGTGTTTACTTATGTTCGTGCAAGTCGTACTACCTCCGTTTCCCCGTGAAAGAATCCTTAACTTTCATCTATCGTTTGTGTGATTGTAAAAAGATCATTCCAATCAACATGACACTTTTGAATATTGCTTGGATTGTAGTTAGAGGACCATCGAACTAGGACCTGAGGAATAATGAAATTGGAGACGTGTATGTATTCAGGATACAAGATATATCCAGGACACGGAAAACGTGTTGTCCGTCCTGATGGGAAGGTAACTGACCATTTGTGTTTGTACTGGTTTACACATAATTGATTATTTATTATTTATACTATCAACTATACCATACCATTTAATTCAGTAGTTTTTGAGATTTTAAAGAGTAGAGGATATACGTCGTTCCGTCTTTTTTAGTGAAGATCGGAGTGGTTTTAGTCACTATAAGTGTGAATTAGAGGTCTCTAATAGAGATTCTAAGTACAAGTGGTCTTCACACAACTGTTGAAACAAACTAGTTTTCTTTCATTACCTGTTTGAAGATTCTATAATTCTAATATTGTGTTGTATATTTTCGTCTTCGAGAATTCAACTGAAGATCTAAAAGGATTTTTATAGGTCCAGATATTTCTTTCCGCAAAGGCGTTCAGATCAACTAAGCTCAAGCGTAGCCCAAGGGATATTCGTTGGACTGTTCTGTATCGCATTAAGCACAAGAAAGTATGGCATTCATCTGATTTGTCTTTTTTTTCTATTCTTCGGTCGGGGTTCCCGGATTTTTCACTCCATAGGTCTTTCAGAGAAAGTCCGTTGTTGTACTTTGTATATATTTGTCGATTTTTTGGATCTTAATAATGATTGATTTGCAAAAATAGTAATTCGTTTTGAAAAATGGTGTTTAGGGATCGTATGGACAAGAAAGTGTGCAGAAGAAAAAGGTGAAGAAGACCGTGCAAGTTCTTAATCGTGCTGTTGCGGGGATGACACTGGAAGCAATCTTAGCTAAGCGAAATCAAACCTCTGATTTTCGACGTCAACAACGTGAACAGGCTGCTAAGGCCGCTAAGGAAGCAAACAGAGCAGCCAGGGCTGCTAAAGCTGCTTTGAATAAGGTTAGCGTTCAACGGAAATGGCCTATTAGTCGGAGTGTCCCTAAACTTCTTAGAATTCTGCGCATTGTTAGAGCTCGTTTTACTATTATGGTGAGATGAGTGTCGAAAGTGCGCTATAGTATTGGTTCGATTCCTTACCTTCGTGCTGCAATTCAGAGTTGTGAGTATTTCACATTCTGAATTGTTATGAGCAGGTTTACGGTGTTGGCCCAACAATTAGTTCTGTTCTTTCTTCCTGGACTATTTCATTTCTTTTAGGAGAAGAAACCAGTTCCACAGAAAATGAAGCCACCGAAACCCGTTAAAGCTGCCCCACCTCGAGTCGGGGGGAAACGTTGAGCTTGTAATATATGAGTTGTTTATTGTTAAAAATAAAACATCTTGTCGTTTTGTTTGTTTAGGATTGAGGTTTTTTCTCCTATTTCGCTTTCTCGAGTTACGGCCTACACCTGATTTATCTTTAGAAGAAGAAAATCTGTTTTCATGTCTCTGCTTGGTGTTATGTGGCAATAAGAAGCTGAGCTCTTAAGAGTATTTGAAAGATCTCTGTATTTTTTATGAAAATATGTAGATGGGACTTCGTGGCTTGTGTCTATTGATGGAAATATGCTGGACGATGAAACCGTATAGAACCTCATTTTGTTGTTTGTAACTGAATGCTTGACACTGAGACGACCAAAGAGCAAGGCATTTTCGGTAAGTGGGAAGTTTTCAAGCTCATAGGGACCATGAAGGAAGACAGTTTATGTATCACATTGAGTGGTTTTGTTCCATCAAAGCAGTCTAGTGCAGATGTGGTTTTATTTGGATGTCGCTATGCATGGCTTCACCATGACCCCTTATGGATTTCCAAAGAATCAGTGCAGAAGCCCGACTTTACTAGGAGTAGTTGTAGGGTTATGCTGGGAACTCGTTTACCAGTCTTGTAACCTGAAACTATTAACATTGGTTGCGCTCCATAATAATTTGTTGCATTCGAAGTTGGCCTGATTCAGAAAGATCCGAATCATTTATGTGTAGAGGAGAACACTGTAAAATATGTCTGTAGTGAAATACAATCACAATGATGCTGAGATGTTTGCAGAAAAGCTGAGAGAAATGCGGGACGAAGGACACGCTTGGTGTGGTAGTGAACGCGTTAACTCTCGGTGAAGCTGATAATGAAGTTCAATCACGGAGCAGACACCTGCGGTCCGGCGTTTTGCAAATATCTCAGCATCGTTGTGGTTGCATTTCATATTATAGCATACAATGAAAAAAGAATAGGTAGTAAATAAGAAGTGTTTACATTATGTGCCTAATATACAGAACTTACTTGGCTACTTGGATGGCCCGTCTTCACTGGTTGTGCGGGTCCCAGCATAATTTCTATTCTCCGGAAGCTTGCTGGGTTAGCCATTGTAGTTCGCTGGAGTCCCAAGGACAGCCTGACCAATGTCTGCCCAAGTCGTCACCATCATAGGCTGTCGCTGCCCTTGTTGATCAGAGGGAGGTTTGCCAGCATGCGACTTTGGTACCAGGGTGGTGGTGGATCCTGCTATTGCTTTACTTTTAGCTGGGCTTCCTAATGGAAACGTTGGACTCCTACTCAGCTTGGACGACCCTGCTGAAGCGGTGGATCTCCCCGCTGTGCATCGCAGCGCGACGCCCAGTAATACTTCCCATACACGATGAGGCGGCAAACCGTTGGGACGATGTACAGAACAGTAAATTAAAATCAGAACGTAAGCGTATAAATGTAAAGAGAAGGCTGCTGTTTAAAATATAAAATGAACTAAGAGGTTTGATATGAAATGCTGAGATATTTGCAAAACTCCGGACCGCAGGTGTATGCAGTGGGGAACGAACACGCGCTGTTGTCCTTACCGAGGAGCAGCGCACTTCACCACCACAGCATCCGGGTCCTTCGTCTTGCCTGTCTCTCAGTTAGTTCTATCGATCTTTTTGCCATCAGCAATCACCTGTCAACAGGATTGATCTGGGGAGCCCAAATCGGCATTGAACCCAGTTAAGCTGAGGCTTAGTTATAATCACAATCTTAACCCTTGTATTTACTGCCTTTTTCTTCTTAATGGCAGGGTATGTTGCGAAATATAACTCGTATGAAATGCTGAGATATTTGCAAAACTCCGGACCGCAGGTGCATGCAGTGGGGAACGAACACGCGCTGTTGTCCTTACTGGGGAGCAGCGCACTTCGCCATCACACCATCCGGGCCCTTCGTCTTGCCTGTCTCTCAGCTAGTTCTATCGATGTTTCGATATAAGGAGTTTGATGTTTTAATCCAAAACAAGATGTTAAAATCAGGCAAGTTGCAGCTAACATTAGTAGATAATTGGCATTATTACTAGGTAATGGAGACGTCTCCCGTCCTTAATGGCATATTAGTGGGATGGTTCCTTGCGCTCTGGGTTTGTGCTCGTCTGATTGATGTCAGTGTTCCGGTGACGTCCAATTCTGCCTCGAGATTAAGTAACCCGGGACCATATTGTTCGCATTCCGCGAATGCCGATAACCAGTGGCAAGAAGGTCTGTATGATCACAATTCGGATATGATTCAGTTTCTTTTTGAGATACTGAATGTTAACGAAGTTTTGAAAAGTGGTTCATTTATAAGTTACTTCTGTTCAGTTGAAGGGGATCACAGGACAACGTTTGTTCTCCGCGACAAAATTGACGCTGTGCTGACGAGTTCGAGGTTCGTATTTCGTTTAATAAGAATCCTGTGCAAGATTATGGGATTCTTCATTTCCACGTGAGGTCGTTTTGCATTTCGTTTTTGGATGACCCAGAATAGTGAGGAATTGTTGGGATAACAAGTTTTATAAACTACTATGCCTAGGGATCTAAGGACGATAGCGCGCTGGTTCGTGCAACAAATTCGAATGGACCATTTAATTGCAGATGTACTGTCTTGTGAGCATGTCTGGGTTCGTATTTTCTGCTTTGTTGATCGTTATTTTGGTGAATCTTGCCGATTTATCTTTTTTTCGAACAAGGACCAATAGTTCCTACATTGTTCGCCTTTAGTTGACCATCTTTGGAGTTTCTGTTGCGGGTGCTATAGCGCATTTACTTATGTTCAACCCATTTATTACCATGGAGAGTGCACCTACGGAATACCTAACGGAAATGAAGCGTGCTGAAACCACGTACATTCAGGAAATGATGAGGTCAGCATCTACCGACACTTGGTATTTTGGACATAAATGCGTGTATCTAGGCTTTTGGAACTGTGCAAATCCTAAACGCTTAACGTTAAATTTATTCTGTTTTATCCATGATTCGTTTTGAATTCCTACTGCTCAGCTAGAATTTTTGAGCGGTCGTTGCAGGTAGTACTTGTGGAGTGGGGCTAGAGTTGTGGTGGTGAGATAGTTTGTCGTAGTTTTAATCACTTGTTCTGTTTAACAGAAACTGTGTTTGTTTTCCTTAATAGTCATGTGGACATACTAAAAGCGCCATGATTACTTAATTTTACATTAAACCTCCTAATTAGTTTTCTCCATTGATTGTTAATTGGTGTGATAAAAAAGAACGAAATAGAAAACATCCAGTTTCTTATTAGGAATTCAAAGAGTAAGTAAAAGTAAAACATTGAATTCTTAAGCTTTGTTGAGCTTTTTTCTCTTGAAAGAAGTATGCAAAGTGCTCAATCCAAAGCAGAATGGCGGACACGTAGCCAAAAACGCCACAACTACGGCGACTGCCTGTGGTGCACCTGCAGCAGACTTTGGCTAGGCTGACGTTGGGTCTCCAGGGAACCACAATGGCTAAGCCATCAAAGCTCCGAAAAAAATGGAATTTATACTAGGGCTCTCACAAAACGAGTGAAGACGGGTCATTTAATTATCCGAGTAAATAAGTGTCTACATTTATTCGCAGTGTTATCTTTTTTCAGGAAATACGTCGTTGAGAAGTTGCTAGTGCTTGCATATGTTGTTGTAAGAAGTCAAGATAGAGACAGTCTTACTACTTTTAGGTATTATTTTGTCGTTTAATATTCATATATATTATGTATTCTGTCCTACAATCTCAATTTGAGGTTGAAATTCTAGATTTTGATTTTTTGAAACGTAACACTAATCAATTTTTCATGGCTGCTTTGTAGGACAGCACTCGTTTTCATGTTGTTTACTGACTTTCTCGCGTTTCAAACGCAAATAGTAGTTTTCGATAACTAGAGGACTTTTCCGTAACAATTTTTGATGATAATCTTAACCTTTTTATATACTGCCTACTCTTTTTAATAGCACGATATGTTGCGAAATGTAACTTCTATGATGCTGAGATATTTGCGAAACTCCGGACCAAAGGTGTTTGCGGCGGGGAACGAACGCACTATTACCCTTTCCGGGGGCTAACGCGTTCACCACCACACCATGCGGGTTCTTCGTTTCGCTTGTCTCTCAACTAGTTCTATCGATCACTGCCGTCAGCAATCAGCAATTTTTTAATGAGTAGACGATTTGAGGGGTTGTTAACATAACAGCGCTTTAGAAGGAACTTTGGGGTATTGCAATATATGTACATATGATGCGCATGCTACTATTTCCTGTATAGTACTGAGATCATCCATACAAACATCCCGAGACTTACTTCTGTTATATTTTTTGGTGAATATTCTGTATACAGGGCGCGCGTAGTGCAGTAGTCGGAGGCACCCTGCAATACACATGAGATCGATACCCTTGTCCAAGGTTCACCAAGTCTTCTATTTCTCTGGGGTCGGCTGTATGGTACCGGACTTGTGTGGGAGGATAGCAGCATTGGCTCGGTACAACGGTGAGCCAGCGCGAGTCTTCGTTGTAATTGCCAGATGTGCATTGAATCACCTCCAACGATGCCAAATGAAGTCGAGTGCATGGCGCATCGCTCAGGGATTGATGAACGCCGAAAGATTTATCTTTTATCCTTTTATTCTGCAGACGATATGTTCTTGTAAGAGAGAAGCTTCATGAAGTCATATATGCAAATTATGCATTTGTGACATCTTTGATTAATTCTTCATAATACCGTTTACATCCTGAATAGGTGCAGACTATCCTATACTTTGCATTTAAGGAAATAATCTGGTTAGCTTTAAATCAGTTTTCAAGGCAGCCGTCTTTCTACGAGTGGACGTATCGTGTAACAGATGCCACAATATTCGCGGTATGGTTCACATTGGTTTGGTCTGTGTCTTCGCTAACGATATCGGCGAACCAGCGATTTGAAATGGTACTACCAGTCAACTTCCTTTGCAGTATTTCCTAGGTATTTTAGAATGCTGTTTTGATAAACTGCAGTTGCTGGTGCTTAGCTTTTAAAACGGTTATGTAGTATGATACTTAAGCACAAATAAGTCATCTAGAGCGGTGGTTAAAGATGCCCAGCAGTACATACCAGGTTGTTGATTCGATCTCGCATACCGGGTTAACTTAGGGCTCCATTTCTTTCCGGGTTCGGAAGACTAGTACCATACTTGCCTAGAAGGAACACATGTCCTTTTATTACAAACACAAGCACTGCTCATCTTTTGTACGCAGATCTGTGCTACAAAGACAACTTTTACTATTGCTTTGTAGCTAGGTATAGGAAGAATTTCTTTTCACGAATTTCATAAATAGGGTGAGGGTTAAATAGATTCGTTATGCGTACAAAATAGGTATGTACCTTACCTAATGGTCAAATGTTAGAGACGTCGCCTGATCGTAAATCTTTTTCCTCAGTGGTGAATCTGACTATTTCTCCTTCACATCATTCCATTGGAACTTAGTGTATGAATCATTCAACTTAAGTTGACACTAATCTCCAAAAAAAGTTACTAGTTCTACTTCAAGAAAGTATTTTTACTACGTTCACATATTGTTTGCATTTCCTTGCCTGGCTTATTGCTGGTTGGGCAACATTTTCTCCTTACTCTCATCTAAAGTCTATTCATCGCTCTATTTATGTGGCTTGTATATCGGCTTTGGCGGAGTGTAGCGCAGTGGTTAGGAGTGCCGTGCAATACACGAGTTCGGTGCCATGCCCCAGGGCCACCAAACCATCCACCCTTCTGGGGTCGGCAAATTGGCACCAGACATGTCTGAGAGAATAACAACACATGCTCGATACATTGCTAGGCTATTGCGAGTTATTGATTAGGCCAGATATGCATTCACCTCTAACGAAGCATGACGAAGGCAATTGCATCTCGCATTCGTAAAGGATTGATCAACACCGAGAGCTTTATCTTTTATGTTTTCTTATATTAGCTTTACAGGAGGAGATCTACTGACAATGGAGGATTGTTGCGAAATTGCACATTCGGCTTTTAAGTGCACCAGAGCGTTAATTTATGTATCCACATCTTGTGTATTTCAGATCGCCAAATTTATTTCGAAAACACTGGATGAAGGTGAAGATAGTAAGAAATTGTCTACGCCTTCCAAGCAGGAAGAGATTGATAATGAACAGTCCGAAGAGGATCCTCATGACGTGCGGTTGTTGATGAAACGCTTGATTCTGGTGCTAATGGCGTGCTTTCTCACTGCAACCGCAATGACATCTTTCGGTTTGACGTCATTCAAAGCCATGCATATTTTATACGCACTGATATTTACCGTTGAGGTAATTGTTCAGAAATTCATTAAATGTCATTTGTACTCTGTTGCAATATGACAAAACAAATTTTCTTTTTATTTACTGGTAGGATTAAATTACGTTTCGTACTGGACACGATAGGGGCGCGTGTAGTGCAGTGGTCGGTGGCACCGTGCAACACACATGGGATCAATTCTGGCACGCCAGGCCTACCAAGCCCTCCATTCCTCCGGGTTCTGCAAATTGATAACAGACTTGTTGGGAGGACAGTACCAGTGTCTCAATACATCGGCAGGCCAGGGCGAGTCATTATAAAGGCCAGATATGCATTCACTCATTTCCAACTACGCTTAAGTCAAATACATGCCGCATCCGTCAGAGATTGATCAGTGCGGAGAGTTTTATCCTTTGTCGCTTGCTGAACATGATTTGAAATCGCATTCTGATTTTACTTCTTCTCCAAGTTTTTTGACCAATCTTTTTCCTGATTTCGTGTTTGAAATTTGGTACATACTATAACTTCAGCACATTTTCACACATTAAGTTTACTATCTCACGTGGACTTTGTCAAAGAGAAATGCGAAAGAGTTGAAAAGTAGACAACTTGACGTGTGTGTTTTCAAACCTTCAGACTTATGTTTAAACTCAGAATTATTAACATGTGAAAACAAATTGCTTTGAAAGATGTTGCACAGTTTAGGGTTTAGAAGTTCTAGTACGCAGTGCTTACGTCACTTATCGTGTTGCTTGGTGGCAACTGATGGCATATGCAGCGCTTGGCAATAGTGAAGCTTTTCGCAAAAGGGCCTACGGCGCCAGACGAATTGCTGACGTTCTGTTTGATACTCTGTCAGTAGTGCAGTATGTACTGTATTTGGTGAGTTGCGTTCTAGTGCTTTTTGAAGTTGCAGATTTGGTGTAAAAATTAGTCTGATGTAGAGTGTTGACAATCCATTTAGTTGTTCTCTGAACCAGTCGTTGAAAACTCCCATATTTCTCACACATGAAGTGGTTCGCTTTGAGGAACTCATTTCACAAATCCATAGTGGAACAAATGTGGCCGCACTTTCCCCTCTTTATGGCGAACGAGAAGCATTTTTTAAAGAGCAGAAGTTGTCCGAAATTGGCTACTATCATATTCTGTACCATAGTTAGCATTCGTCATGACGCCGAATTTTCGATGTTTGCGAAATGGAAGCACGGCATGCTTTTCCACCGAACCCATGGTTAACGAAGATTTGACATCTGATGACAGTGTTGAATATCTCTTGTGTAGCTTGTTGACTACAAAATAGTTTCTAACAGCGTTGAAACGACTTCCATCCTATCAGCACTCGTATACCATGGAGATCATCCCACATGGGAACTCTGTCGGATTAACTTCCAAGTTCACCACGAAAATATATCCCTTCCAACGACCCCTTTCTATTTCCACAGAAAGGAGTTGACAATGCTATACCATCTCTGCAATGATGTTTACCGCATCAATATTGAATGTTGCTCGATTAAGAACCCATAAATAAAGAATGTATATGCATCGCTGGCAATTTTTTATCAAGTCTTCGCTTATCCGATAGCATAGTCATCTTTCCGTACCATTCGCATAAAAGCATTGCCGAATGGACTCGATAAGTTGGAAGAAAGTATGGAGATCCTGTTCGTAAAAACACGGCATGCGATGGAAAAGAAATCGGGATGAATGGTTCTTAACTTCAAGAGGTGATATCATTGGTTTAGATACTCCGTTTAGTGGGACATAGAAAGACATGGAAAAACTGGACAAAAGGGTTGGGCATTCCAGTCTTTCAGAGAATCTTCCGAATTCACGGGCACAAAACTTGGCGCGCACCTTGCCTAGCATTGCCTAAAAGGTCGCGCTGAGCGGTGGGTCGACATTTACTGACGTCAAGATTCTTACGCACTGTCTATAGAACAGCCGATGTCTTTTTAAATATAAACGGCTGGTTGAATCGAACTGCGCAGTTGAGATCTTTTCAAATTATACCTTTAATTTATTAACGAAGGTGCACAAGGAAAGAGAAATAGAAGCAAAAATGAGCGGGTAGTGTGATGTGAGAATGGACGATCAGAAAGAACGTTGAGGTCCTAAGATGATTCTGCCGTACTGCAGGACGATCTATGTAGAATATGGGCTGCGTTTATACGTTACGTGAGCCAACTTTAATAGCAGTTGCAAACGATTTACGTATCACAGAATAGCAGAAAAATCACGAAGACCGCCGTCGACGACGGTCCCAGTAAAGAAAAGATGAACGAAACATGAGTTAATGCTCTAATGATTCGTGAGAACGGGCGAAGTATTAAAGTATTCTTATCATTACTGCGTTACTCTTGGAAAATCTAGTGCTCTCCTGTAGCTCCGCAATTTTGTCTGCTTTGGAGTCGCAGTGTAAAGTGTATACATCTGGAATACATCTTTCAAAACCAAAAAGTAGTTCAAATCTTCCGACAAGTAAACTTTACCATTTAACCAGTATGTGTTAATATTGGGAAAAGCTATAGTACCGGCTGGTCATTTTAGATATGATAAGGTCCTTATCCAGAGGATTTTTGTCGAAAAGAATAAGCGATTTAACAAGCAATAAACCATCACTGCACAGATAATATTGAGGATCTTAGGAAATCATGGCAGATGTGGAGCAGCCATGGAGTTTAGCCCTCGGTTTTCACGCATATAAAGATATATAACGCATAAAGGTTTATATCGTGGTTAAATGTGAAAGTTGGTGCAACGTCTTTTTTTAAGGCTACTTATTACCTTTGTAATATATGGAAGACTTTTGGAGGAAAACTCTGCACGTGATTTTTGCTGTTGCGCAAAGTTTTAATAGATTTTAGTGAGTTTGGTAGAACACGTAGTTACGTGTTTAAAGCCTTCCCAACGACTTCATACATGCTGTACCAGTTCAGTTTGTCTCGTCGCACGACTTCTATGGGAAATATTGCTTTTATTAGCAATGTTTGGGCGACGAATATTGACTTTCTATTACGTATCATGTAAATTGAAATTTCTTCTAATGAAATCATATTCTGCAGATCGTGGGTACGATAATCAATGGCAAGCTGATTCCCCTAGTGTTTGTCGCCCAACTAGCACACCATCTTCAGCGCTCACTTGACAATTTATTTGGCCATTCTAGTGGACGTGACACATCCACCTTCATTAACTAGACACCTTGTCGCAATATGTCACTCTATGGGATGACACGAGAACCGTCTTACAACGTGTTCTCCCATTACTAACAAACCACTGTTACAAACCTCTCTGTTATCCGTTTCGTTCTCTTCTGTCCAGTTTGAAATAGGATAGGCGTTATTTTCATATTTAGTTGTTTAGAATTGTTACTGTTATCATTGGCAAGGTGATCTCCTCTTAAGGTGTTCATCTTAGTGATTTTCTATGACAGCTTTATTTCCTGTTTGATCTTGAGGACAGCAATCCCACGTAATCATTTCTATTTAAATCTTTAAAAATGCTCAGAATACAAATAGAAGCAGATTGTAACCACTTCATTCACGAAATCAGTGCTCAGTGGCATTAAATATATGCTAACAAAGATTATTATGCCTTGTTTAAAACCATCAAAAAGACTTGTTTACATTTTCGCAGTAAATTTGCAAAATAAACTAACAAAACAACAGTTAATACCTAATGGCAGTCAATTCAGAAGAAAACGAGGTATGATGGTCGTACACCATTATCGACATGCACAGCACAATGGAATTGATAATTTAATAGAACCCGCTTCTATGGCTACAAGACGAGTGCAAATTAGATGCCTAAGGACTGAACCAAATTTCTCAGTGGTCAACTGATCGCGAATGGATTATCGTGGATCTCTCAGATATGCTTCACTTTGCGTACTTAAGTGACAGTGCTTTTGTATTGATTTGATATCATGTTAGGCCAACTGACACGGATGAGGAAGATGTGAAGCAAATTTACTGGAGTAGCGTTACATATGGACGCTTTTATAATCATTTTGGGTTGTCTAGATATGAGAATTGATGCTTTCGGCAAGGATCTGCTCGAGCAAAGACCTTGTCGGAAGTCGGTGGTATCGATGCCTCGGATGCGCTTGTAGTTGATGTCGTAATTTGAGTTGAAGCCACATCAGCTTACGAATCTGGTCATCAGATGTCGGTAAGAGAAATCGATGAGCACGTCGAGGAAATGAGTCGAGACTTCGTTTCACGATTGCAGTACAGCATCGAGTACATTTAGAAGGGCCTGTATAATTAGCGCATTTGGAGCCGCACCCACAATCGCCATATGAGAGTACCACAGTTATTGAGATTACGAGGCAGAACTCAAGCACTCGCATCTGAAATATATTCTAGTATTGTGGATAGGAATCATATTCGAAAAGAAAAAGTCCACTGGAGAGCGATGTGTGAAACAATGAAAATATGGCATTGCTATGAGTACTTAGTGGGAGGAAAACTAACAGCACGTTGGGAACTTATGATTGGCTTAACTCGTTTAATATTTCCCAGATAGCACATGGCAAGGTCATCTATAGAGGGATTGGGAACAAGTGATATTTAAAGAGTACGTTTAGACGGGTTAGCTGGAAACAGCGTCGAACGAATATTTGACTTACGGAGGTCTACAATGCTGTGAGATTTGTCAGACACTACGAAGTAAAGAATATAGTACAGTGTAATATGATATGGAATTAATTGTACATAGTAGGAACATTTTAGAGACGTTGCTTTTACTGAAGATGAGAAGCGAGCGAAGTAATAAAATTGAAGAAGTAAGGTAAAACGAGATATGAAACCTTATGCAAGCAAATGGAGGTCTGAAGGACTGAGAATTGCCAACAGTAACAAAAAGAAGCTCGTCGGAGTAGTTGCAGCACGTCGTTGGCGATGATAAGGCCACAGTAATATTGGATGCGTCTTAAATACTTTGCTAAAATAACTCTTCACCTTTTGCTGCCCAGTAAGAATATCAGGGAGAAAATCGACAGAGTTTTCGAATAACTCTGATGAGATGTTTCCTATGAGTACTGTTTGGAACAATGACAATGAGAACGAGAATAAAGACTGAGTTCACATAGGAAATTTAGAGCAGCAAAGGGAAAAAATGACAATAGCTACCAAATGGGCAAAATCTATAGTCGAGGAACTCCGTGCTTCCTTTATTTCGCTACATCTATAGCCAATCTAGCCGTTACCACAGCAGTTAGAGCGTGGTGTTGATTTTTTTTCTCCGAAAGTTATCCTATTGAGAGAAATAGAACCGTTGAGAAAAATTAACCAGATTCCTCTTCGTGTCTACTGCTACCACACTGTTGTGAAGACTTTCGAAATAATAAGGAGACGTGCTTCCGATGTCAGTATCCCAAATTTTCTCAGCTTTGAAAAGAATACAAAAGGAAATCAATAAGTCGATAGTTACTTCTTATATAGCTCATGGTAGTCATAATTCTAAACTTAAATTCAGAAAACTAACACGAAATCATAACGTCAACAGTTATACAAGATGTCAGCGTTTTTAAAAGTGGTAAGCTTTCTATAGACTGTGAAGAAACTTAGGAGCACTGACGTGCTAGAGGGATGCCAGTGTGCTACTTTTAGCAGTACAAACACCTACTTAAAGAAGCAATGCCGAAATTAGTGCACCTTACTATCACCACTGGAGAAGGTTTATCACCGAAAGTGGGCGGTGCGTTAGTTGATGTCTTTGAGGCTTTAAAAACGAAAAAAGGTACGACATAAAATTCTTTACTAGATAATTTAATAGTGTCTCAAGACCATACAGACTTAAAGACGCGACAAAACTGATAGGGAATATGACAATGACACATGTCATGACAATATGACAGATATGACGCTATAAACTTAAGAGCACGTTAAGATCTTTTTCCTATACGGTAGTGGGAACGATCCTGCAATTGGTAATGACATGTTTGAATTATTCAAGGAAGTGTCTGAACGGATGTGGACATCGTTAAGTAATTCACCGACAATGCTTGCATCGTCAGTGAAAAACGAACGTTCATGGAAAACTCCGTCTCAGTTACCACGACGTCGTGGGCGGAGCCAGGCGGGAGTGACTGTGTCGACGCACTGTCAACATGTGGAAATTACGTGATGCAATTTGTTGGCCATTAGTTCCCCGGAGTTTCGAGGTCGGCCTAGCCGTATCCTCCCTCAGATCGTCACCAACTCAGACAGTCGGCCCTTGTGGATCAGAGAGAGATGTGTACAACGCGACTAATTTGATGTCAGGACGGTGGTGATTCCTGGTATTCGTCCACTCATAGCTATGCTTCCAATTAGAAATGTAGGACTCCTCAACTTGGGTGGCCCTGCTGAGTGTGATGAATCCCCGCTGCACATCGTAGCCCGACATCCGAGATCACCTTCCACCCACGATGAGGTGGTAAACCGTGGGGTGGGTTGGGCACTGAGGATAACGTGAAGATAGCTGCTCATAGGTACGTTCCTGACGTTAGCTGCCCAGTAGTGCAGTAGAGTATTCTCCTCTTTCGTGATCTTATCGGTTCACTTGCACTACTTTTCAACATTTGTCGGTCTACAGAAAGACTGATATAAAATGCGTTGAAAGAAACTGTAGCACAAAGTCCATCGAAAATTGCGATTGGGTACCGTAATCGTTGGGTGGGAATGCTTTATCCTACTTCTTGTAAAAGATAGTGACAGTTTGTCAACATCAACAGCGATCTGACACTTTTCTCCAGGCGTCACCTAATCTCAGTTGTGTTTCGCATTCTTCCTAACAGAAGTTGGACACAACGTAAGCATAAGACTAAAATCTACGATCTCCGTGTTTCGTAATTTCTTATCCATCTATCTATTTAGCTTTTTCTTACAGTCAGATTTGTGTAAACCTGTGCTAAGTGGTTCAAATTTCTAATTTTTCGTTTTAGAAAAAAACTAACCTTCATTCCTTCAAGCTTCCATGAAACTGTAGTGAGGAAAGTTGACTAATTCTATAAATTGGTAAGGTATCGTGTCGTTACTCTCGCGAGCGAGAGCTACTCGGTAAGCTATGCATACTTGAGGAGGCACCTCTCGTTACCTGTTAATCGCTTCTGCTAGATAGTAGTCACAACTGCATCGGCTTTGTCAGGTAGATTTATTTTGCCGTATTTTTGAGAGGAAATGTAGAATGAATTTTTTCTCGACTTGGCTAGCTCAGCTGAGGAAATCAATACAAGTTCTACATAAAAAAGAATAAAGCTCTCGGTGTTGATCAGCCGCTAAGGGATGCGCCATGCATTCGACGTCGTTAACTATCGTTGGAGGTGATTGGATTCATTTCTGGCCTTTACAATGGCTCGCGGTGGCCTACCGATGTATCGTACCAATGATGCTAACCTCCCAGACAAGTCTGGCACCAATTTGTCGACCCTGGAGGGATGGAAGATTAGGTGAGCCATGGGAGCGGGGATTGATTTCACGTGTGTGTCGAAATGGTGCCTCCAACCAATGCGCCACACGAAGCTGTACATAATATATCTATATTCAAGCATATCCCTAGGCACCATGAAACGATGAAACATTCGGAATGAAGCGCTGGAACTGAATATGCTCACGCTATTTAAAGACATAAAGAATTAATGATAATATTCTCCACACTTCGTTTCGTATGTAACTTAAGGGACAACTGTTTTTTAAGAAGACCATAATTTAAGCGTGACAGAGCTTTCTTTTAACTAACTTTCATTTAACCTCGTAATAAAACCACTCAGTGCTTTTTTGTAACGACAAACTAGCTAGACGTCATTAAAAATCGTATAGTGGCCAACGTTTCGACTACCTTGACTCCTTCGAAGACCCAATGACTCGAGTTAAATTCTACAGCAGTTCTTTTTGCGTTGTGAGTTTTCGTAATTGCATTGAGTTGAATCCTGCAGAGTAGAGAACCACTGGAATGAGTTTCCTACCTCATTCGGTAATGCCTTTCAATACAGGACGGTTCGTGACTGGTTGTCTGATTTTGAGAAGTACTGTTTCGCTCTGCGCCACCTTATAGTACTGACTGAATTGCCTTCATGGAAACAACTTGCCTTTAGAGGACAACCAGTTAAAAACCTTCCTGGGTCAAAGGGCACTTCCCAGTAAAACAATTTCATTCGGGCAGTTCTCCATTCCACTAGATTCGATTCGATGCGACTACAAAAATCCACGTGGCAAAGACGAACGGCTGTAGACACGCGGATCAAATTATTGCGGATGTGAAGAAGGCGAATGGAGTGGAACGTTATCCACAGGACCGAAACTTTGTTAGAAAACTTTAAAGAGCTCAATCTAATATCGAGCAGTCGGCACAGCTGCCTAGATACCTTCCTAAATGGACGCTTATTTCTATATTAGTAGATCTTTGAATATCATATCACTAAGAGACCAAAGCTACAATCTTCGCATGGTAATAAATTATACGAATGATTCATGTTTCCCAAACTAATAAATGAGTTTTTCAAAGGTCGGATATCGTCAGCTTTTAGTTCCTGAAAAATTCTACAGTCACCGAAGTTTTGCTGTCACATTCCGAGTTAAGTGAGAAATTATGTCGCCGTGAGATTTTGGCAGAGTTTAAACAGGAACTGCCTACGTTAACTTCACATTTATTCGATACATCTATTCGAAAGCCCAAATGAGAGGGCTGACCCTTGGCACAAAACCGAACTGTTGTCGAAGTAAATTAAAATACGGGACATTTCATAAACATAACAGTGAGTTCTTATGATGACAACGTACGAAACTCTTGGGTGGATCGGTTATCTCGTAGCACCAGGAAGCAAAATAACCTGCCTAGGGTGGACTTTATGGAATTGAAAGCTTTGAAGTTATTTTTCTTAAGTTATGTAAATCATCTAACCATCACTGTTATCTGCTTGACATCGTTGAAGTGGTCATCTAGCTGCAAAGTAGGCTAAGCACAAACACATTCACTACCTTCAACAGTGAATAATATCTTGTAGCGAACTTTAATGATGTAGAAACGGTTATTCTTGGCTATCGCAAAGCAGAACCCACTGGGCTACTCTTGCCCGCCACAGGGAAAAATGGAAGAATTATACTGGCGTCGACTTGAGTCACTCGACGATCAACGGGACTACAGGTGATCGCAGCGGGATGCCACTGCCGCTGTCTGAAAATTTCACGTAACACCCAGGACTGTTGCGTTGTTATTGGAAAGTGCTCTTGAAGTTTAAAATTCTAAACCACATTATCACAAAAACGGTCCACAGCATGTCGTTCGTGTGGAAGACGATCAATGCCTATGTAAAACGTGGCTTGTGAAGCTTGTCTCTTTGTTCTAGCTCTCTAATGCGATAAACTGATATTCGTACACATTAAAATAAATGATTCAGAAGTTTACATCGTTAAACCAGGACTGTCTAGACAACGAGAAGCTAAGACGGTAGATCACACCAGTATCAGCCGAACCCATAGAGAACAACAACCACCCAGATAGGAAAATAACGAGTGGGAAGAAAAGGGATGAATCCAAGTATTGCTAAGGCTCGGAAAATATTTTAAGGTTACTCATATAAGCATGCAAATAATATTTTCACTCAAAAGGCATTGACCTTCCATCAGACTTCCACAACAGAATCATTCCATCGCAGAGCTGATAAACCTGTTTTGCACGTTTAGTTTTGCCAGCTGAGATTACTGTATGTACCATTATTTGCTATCTTTATGACATTGCAACGAAACATTTAATTTTTTCTTCCATTTCATTATCTGGCAGTTGTCTACAACTCACATGGATTTAATGTGATTTTATCTGAAATTCATAGAGACAGCTGAATGAGAAAAAAGCGTGATTTGTACTGATATCTCAGTTTTTGCCAAATTCCATATGAAATAAGTCACATGTGGCTCTTGCAAACTTCTTTTTCATTAT